ATGTTATATTTATGTTGCCTACAGCGGATTCTCTGTTCTGTTCTGTTCAGCTGAACTCTTGCCAGCTCCGCTACGTCCCCCCTCCACAGACGATGTTACATCTCATTGGTTTTGCCCTAGATAAGCTATTTTTATAGGAAATAATTAGACATAACTGATTTAAATACTGCAAAGCCATACTCTTTTGTCTCGTTAGCGTGGTGTGTGTGGATGGTGAGCACTAAGGTGAGAGCATAGGAAACATTTTGCCTCTAGTATATTTTTTATAAATATGCATGAGAAAATAAACATTTGTTTACCAATATTTATCTGTATTTCTTTGGGGTCTATTAGGATTCATCCCTCTCCTCTGACTGCGTTAAACTCTAGCCAAATCTGCATAGAGGCATTTATGCTATACCATTGTTCAGGTTCCCTAGCACAGTTTGGGGGGTTTGCAGCAGTGATTTCAGCTGCTCTACATGAGCAGGCCACTATGGACCAGAGCACAATAATGATAATGATGATGAGGGGAGATTGGCGGAGGAGGGGGTTGGAGAGGTGTACTGGTTGATGGGATAGTCATGCGTCCATGTACATAAATTATGTTATCCATTTGTTAAGTAATAACTGTTTTCCTCATATTTTTTCCCCACCTAGAATATTTCATTAAATCCTTGACTTCTGTGTTAATGCACATTCAATGGGATTTCTGCTTCCCATACTGTGTTATGTGTATTTTTGGCGTATGTTTACCTTGTGCAGGGGCCAGGCAGCCAGTGAAAAGGGGAAGAGGAGGCAGTGGCAAGGATGACAGCACTCCAGCGAAAATTCTTTTTCTGATGAGCTATAACACTCCCACGACATCAGCTCTCGGTAGGGAGTCGTCTCCTAATTTCCTCCATCCATAATAAAAAAAGAGCTTTGTTAAACAGTGCCATTAGTGCCAGCAATTTGTTTTATTCTCAACAGAAATAAATGTTATCTGTGGCGGACAAACTTAACCTAATTAAAGCCCATTGTGCGGAGGGTCCTGATGCTGAGTAACGAAGGAACAGCGGCACAGCCAAGCCAACCAAAAACTGAAAGAAAAAAGAAAGAAAGAGGAGTGTGTTTTTGCCAAATAGGCGGAGGAGAAAAAGAGAAATGTCTTGAAGAATGGATTGAAAAACAAAATAAATAGCCTCTCATCTCTCTTTACTGTGTCTGTGTCAGTGAGTGACTAATCTCATGCATACACTACATACCACATATACACAAATACAGTGGGGAGAACAAGTATTTGATACACTGCCGATTTTGCAGGTTTTCCTACTTACAAAGCATGTAGAGGTCTGTAATTTTTATCATAGGTATACTTCAACTGTGAGAGACGGAATCTAAAACAAAAATCCAGAAAGTCACATTGTATGATTTTTAAGTAATTAATTAGCATTTTATTGCATGACATAAGTATTTCATACATCAGAAAAGCAGAACTTAATATTTGGTACAGAAACCTTTGTTTGCAATTACAGAGATCATACGTTTCCTGTAGGTCTTGACCAGGTTTGCACACACTGCAGCAGGGATTTTGGCCCACTCCTCCATACAGACCTTCTCCAGATCCTTCAGGTTTCGGGGCTGTCGCTGGGCAATACAGACTTTCAGCTCCCTCCAAAGATGTTCTATTGGGTTCAGGTCTGGAGACTGGCTAGGCCACTCCAGGACCTTGAGATGCTTCTTACGGAGCCACTCCTTAGTTGCCCTGGCTGTGTGTTTCGGGTCGTTGTCATGCTGGAAGACCCGGCCACGACCCATCTTCAATGCTCTTACTGAGGGAAGGAGGTTGTTGGCCAAGATCTCGCGATACATGGCCCCATACATCCTCCCCTCAATACGGTGCAGTCGTCCTGTCCACTTTGCAGAAAAGCATCCCCAAAGAATGATGTTTCCACCTCCATGCTTCACGGTTGGGATGGTGTTCCTGGGGTTGTACTCATCCTTCTTCTTCCTCCAAACACGGCGAGTGGAGTTTAGACCAAAAAGCTATATTTTTGTCTCATCAGACCACATTACCTTCTCCCATTCCTCCTCTGGATCATCCAGATGGTCATTGGCAAACTTCAGACGGGCCTGGACATGCGCTGGCTTGAGCAGGGGGACCTTGCGTGCGCTGCAGGATTTTAATCCATGACGGCGTAGTGTGTTACTAATGGTTTTCTTTGAGACTGTGGTCCCAGCTCTCTTCAGGTCATTGACCAGGTCCTGCCGTGTAGTTCTGGGCTGATCCCTCACCTTCCTCATGATCATTGATGCCCCACGAGGTGAGATCTTGCATGGAGCCCCAGCCCGAGGGTGATTGACCGTCATCTTGAACTTCTTCCATTTTCTAATAATTGCGGCAACAGTTGTTGCCTTCTCACCAAGCTGTTTGCCTATTGCCCTGTAGCCCATCCCAGCCTTGTGCAGGTCTACAATTTTATCCCTGATGTCCTTACACAGCTCTCTGGTTTTGGCCATTGTGGAGAGGTTGGAGTCTGTTTGATGAGTGTGTGGACAGGTGTCTTTTATACAGGTAACGAGTTCAAACAGGTGCAGTTAATACAGGTAATGAGTGGAGAACAGGAGGGCTTCTTAAAGAAAAACTAATAGGTCTGTGAGAGCCGGAATTCTTATTGGTTGGTAGGTGATCAAATGCTTATGTCATGCAATAAAATGCATATTAATTACTTAAAAATCATACAATGTGATTTTCTGGATTTTTGTTTTAGATTCCGTCTCTCACAGTTGAAGTGTACCTATGATAAAAATTACAGACCTCTACATGCTTTGTAAGTAGGAAAACCTGCAAAATCGGCAGTGTATCAAATACTTGTTCTCCCCACTGTACATGCAGACTATAGCACACATTTCCCCTCAATATTAAAAACCATTAAATAAAATATACATACAAAATGTACCATACAGAAATGTGCTCAATCAGAATCTAGAGGCTTTCTCATAGACCCTTAGTCACATTTAAATGAGAAGGGGGCATTCAATCTAGACACACAAAGCCACCGACCCCAAATCACTCAACCCCACCCCACAGATACCCAAACATTGGAGTGTTAATTGTTGTGATAACACCTTCCAATAACAGGGGTCTAATTATCAACATGTTTGGCTGTTAGAGTACCTACCTGGCACTCATCCGTGGTGATGGGGGGGTCGGAGCTGGAGGATCCTAATGAAGATCTCATTCACAGCAGCACACACAGGCACAGTTTGAGGTTAAGGTAACTTAGAAACAAGTCCCATTAAGAACCAACTGCAGATCAGATCCTGTGAATTCTGACACAATGGTGCCAGGAATAGTCAGTGATACATTTGGATTGATATCCAACTGTGAAGCTAACTCAGAAGTAGAAAGTAAACATATAATGCTTCAGGGGAGGGCGATGTTACTGTGCATCTAAGTTTTCTCAATGTGATTACTTACTGTACATAGGCTACATGTGCAAAGACATGGGTAAGAAGTTGTTGAACGGTTGATCTGTCAGTCTGTCTGTCTGATTATCCATCTTTCAGTCTAGCCATTCATCTGATTTATAGGATGTTGTTTTTCCCTTCTCCCACAAAGCTCCAATCAACATTTCTCAGCTGGTGAAATGAAGCATAAACAGTTCTCCATTACTTTGAGAGTCGATGGATTCTTCACAGCTGCAGCCGAGGGCCTGTGATCAGGAGTTGGAGACAAAAACAACTGGAGAACATGCCTGACCACACACGTCCACCCACTCACACTGACTGTACACCACTACTACATGCCACACTTACTCCTAAACAGAACACTACATCACAATCACCTAACACAACCACACACTAACACAACTTAACCATGATCATGTTAATTGGATTCTTTCCGGCATGTATTTATTTATTTTTTGATTATTGTGTACCGTTTGACATTTTACTGTATTGTTAGGAGCTAGTAACATAAGCATTTTGATGCACCCGCTACGTCTGCTATATTGTGTACACGACCAATAAACGTTGATTTGATTTGTGTGCATCCTTTAATACATACACTGCCAAAGGAGAAAACAAACAGAGGATAGATATTTGATTTTCACTTCGCAAGCATTGGACAACCGACAGTGTAATGGAAATACATATAATACTGTCTGAATCTTAGCCGACAATGTCTTTCTTTCTCAGCACTAATGTAGGATATCAGCCTTTTCTCTGAAAATAAAGTTATTTGATTCAACCTTTGAATAGAGCCACCATTACTGTTATATTAGATATCTATTGCATATGCCCTCATGGAAACCTCAATGGTGTTCAGACTGGGAACATTTTAATACACTTTTTTATGAATAAAAACATCAAAATATAATACAGTTCTGACATGAAGCACAATATGAAATGGATGAAAATAGAATTCAAGAGGAATTGATTTTATTTTCAAAAAGTCTGACACCTTTATCTGTCTCAGAACACTTTCAGTAACAAGATTGTTTCCTTTAATCTCAATCATCAATTCAGTGAAGTGCTTAGTTCGCTTAAACTGATACAGAATAAGAAATTACTAAGGAAGCAATCTCATGCAAAACAACATTACAGGCTTGCGGCAAAAACAATGAAAACATAACTGGGACTTCCGATTCCAATAAATTGATTTTAGCCTTTTAATTTCAGAGAAGACAAACCACATTTGATATTGGCGATGCAGTGGTTTCAAAGATAATGATAGTTTAATGGATCTATAGCACCATCTAGTGATAGAAAGAATACAAAATGTCTGATTTTACGTCAGACCACTGCCAATGTTGGTTTAGATACACACAGTATCTCATCCATGTTTGATATAGTACAGCACGTAGATAAAAAAAAACAACATCTCCACAATAACTTTTTTAAATTTTCATGGGCACATACTGAGGGTTCCCAATAGGAAACTGCTTAGTCACACCTTTTATACTGTCCTAAACACTGTTTGATCATGGGAGATAATACAGAAAAAGGAATTAACATTAGGTTCTCTAAAACAGCATTCATTTCTCTGACTGCCAACTGAAAACACTACAATGGAATGTTTTATCCAAATAAAACACCTGTAGAGCATATATTAATATAGAGCCTAAGAAACTGAGTTCAAAGTCATTATTTATTAGCTCATTTTATTCCAGTATCATTACCAATTTACCTAGTTAACAAAATAAATGACGAAGTTGATAACCACATGTTCAGACCTGCTCCTGAACATATCGCCTTAATATTTACCACAAGATTAAAATCTAATTATATTTGTCACATGCACTGAATACAACAGGTGCAGACTTTATCGTGAAATGCTTACTATGTTCTAGGACAAATCTGGGATCCAAAGACAGACCATTGAGTGTGATGAAATAATAGCAAAAGAGATGAGATTGATTAGCCTTTATTCTATTGTTTATTATAATATTCGACAGCCAATTTTCAGATAAAAACTTAAACTACAAAAACAGATCAATGAAACAAAAACACAAAACAAAGAATCTGAGAACGCAATAAAAAAAATAAAAAAAACATCTCATTTGTTCTGACTTGGCTCCTGAACATTGCTGTGGGTCAACTCAAATGCTCATAAAAATTGAGCTCTGAACTTCCAAATAGTCAAATACATCCAAACATTCTATTTCAGCTTGCTAAACTATGGATACAGAGATCCTCTATCTACACAGGGCTCTGGGATGAGGAGTGGTAGTGTGGGGTCCTGAGAAAGCAGCAGCAGGGTACTGAGCTGAAGGAGATCCCACTCCTCAGGCCAGTATGACAGTGTTTCCTGGTCAGCTCTGATGCTTTCTGCTGTCTGTGCATGGTGGTCTAGAGGTGTTCTTCTCTCAGCGCCTGGGTGTGTTAGGGTGTGGAGGCAGACCACCTGATCAGACAGGAGACAGGAACATGGTTGGATTAAATGTACAATAGTTTTGTGGATATTGACATGTTACAGAAATTCTACTGTTGTATTATACTGTAATGTGTTGCTGACCCCTGCCTAAGACGCCAAGAGGGAAAACATAACGAACGTCGGCCGTGCAGTCAATTATGTGCTGGGTGATGAAGAACAGTGACAATTCAACATGTTGAAGCATTGGGAAATGAAAATAAAAGAACATTTGATGTTCTGTGGTCAGAGGCAATAGGACTGCCACCCGCTGCTTTTAAGTACACTCTGCAGTCTGTTGCTCTGGTCCGTTTCCTCTTTAAGACGCTTACATTTCATGGAATAGGGCTCTTAGTGAGCCTAACCTAAGATGACAGCTGAAGGGCATGAAATAGTAAGGCATGTGACTAACCTGGACAGGGGAGCAGCCCAGGCTGTGGTCCCATGTGAAGGCTCTTCAGTGATGGTGGGGCTCCTCTGGGGCCGTGTGGGGGCATGGGGCCACTCTGTGGAGGACCACGGGGGGGAGGGGGCCCTCGGGGGTTAGGGGGGCCATGGTGGTGTGGGGGTCCACGAGGTAGTGGACCGTGGGGGCCGTGAGGAGGTCCATGTGTAGAAGAGGGGCCGTGAGGAGGTGGGGGACCATGAGGGGAACGATGAGATAGCCCCTGTCCCTGGTGCATGGACAGCAGTGGAGGGGGCTTGGTCTTCGGGTATGAGCCTAGATAGAAAACAGATCAGAGAGACTGTCAACAGTTACATATACAAGCATAGCCATAACAAGTTACTCATGAGTGATTGATTTTAACATTCCCATCTGATACCCATCCCATCTACCCTGTAGAACATTTATATTTAGAGAATGGTAACTCACCTGGAGTCATGAGGGGGGTGGCAGGGTGCTCTCCCATCCCAGGGGGTGGCTCTCTGCCATGAGGGCCTGAGGGGGTAGGTAGCAGCGGTGGAGGTTTCCCTAAACCAGGAGGCAACATCTTCTTCCTCTCAGGCCGGGGGCCATCACCAGTCTCAGACGTGGCTTGGAAAGAGACAAAACATTAGAACAACCCTTTACAGGAGTGTATAACACCCTAAAAATACATTAGTTATAACTCAGCAGTCACTTTAGTGTCCTGTATTTCCATTAACAAATTGCAATATATGGTGTAGTTAGAGACAAAGAACAATCACATTCATGATTAGAAAATAAGGAGATCTCATTCGCAGTCCTAAATAAAAAGCTTGTACTGTGCATAAAGCCTATGGGCACTATGGTTGTGTGGCTGCACCTTGCAGATGGTCCTGGCGGTTGCGAAGGTACTCTGTGATGGTGCTCAGCTCCTCGGGGTACAGGTGGACTCCCTCGGCCAGGAAGAAGAGCAGCTGGCGGGTGTCAGAGGGCACAGCATGCCTCTCCATTTTCTCTCTCTCCAGGTAGTCATCCACCAGCTCGGCTGCCCGCGCCCCTGTTTCTGCAGGGTCCTTCTGCTGCGTCCGCTCCCCAAGCCCACGGCCATACTCCGCCATTACAAAGTCCATGGCATGGTCCTTGGGCATGTTGCGGTGGACTAGTAGAGGGGTTTGAAGGTTGAAGTTAAGACATTATATAAGTGAATCATACAGGAGGTCTTGCTCTGATATGTCCCGCTTCTTTCATACAAGTCTATTTTATATTGGGTTTTACTTTGGGTTTGAGTGAAAATGCAATGACATTTGTGTTTATTCATGGTAAATTTGCAGTAGTGGGAATGATGTGTGTTCATATTGCAGTAATATGTAATAAATCAGTAATAAATTGACACATTTTAAACAATGTTTTTAATACATTTACTTTGAATACTGGTATTATATTTGATAGGGTGAATGTTACATTGTATAGCAAATCATACAGAAAATGATTTGATGTACAGCAAAAATTTCTTTTTTGGTATGTTGTATGCCTAAAAGTTGAAAAATGGTTAGTTATCCATTTGTGTATAAATACACAGTATTATTTCACTATACAGACTTTGCATGAAAGGCAGTATCGCTTCAAGGATAATAACATTTTATGTAGATTAAGGAAAGGCATCTTTGAGGATTATTTGAGAGTTGAGGATTATATATTTCAGTTCCTGAGAACAATTTAAAAATATTATATAGGCCCATAACAATATATGTGCTGAATAGGGAAAAAAAACATTCTAAATACTTTCCAAATATTAAATAACAGTACAATTACAGCAATTATTTTACTTATTAAGTAGTATTTGATGATAATATTTAATTAAAGAAATACAAGCATATGGACTGTTCATGATTTAGATACTATCATTATTGTAATAAATGCATTAGGCTATATATTTACATATATTTATCTACCTAGTAATAGCCCTACATGTCTAGGATATATGTTATATTAAAGTAATACATCGTTGAGACAAATACATTTTTTAAACATAATTTGAAGCTGTAAAGTTGCTTGTTCACTGGTAAGTGGACAGTCTGGCCACCCTCAATGTATACAAACAGCTTCTTCCTGTTGCACGATTGGTTCTTGTTCTCAGAGGTACGAACAACAATATAATACTGTTTGTTATACTAAAAATATAAAACAATTGTAATAATTTCAGGTATTTCTAAGTCTTATTCCCCTGAAGGAAATCAAAGTTATTTAAGTGATAATGCCAGAGAAGCCGTGGTTTGGAAGATATATTGGCATGGGTGTTGTTAGGCCTGATATAAAATGCTGCAGAGTACACCTTTAAGAAGCTATTCAATAATAGTTTAAAAGAAGACCTTAAGTGTAACAAATAGAAATATATTTAAAAAAAAGAAAGATGTGATGCAATTGACATTTTAGTCATTTAGCAGACGCTCTTATCCAAAGCGACTTACAATTAGTGAGTGCATACATTTTCATACTGGCCCCCAATGTAAGAATTTGGTCATCGTCATCTTTGTTAGTTTGACATTTTCTGAGGATTTATATCAAGCAATTAATACTTTTCTAAAGTGTGACTGATATGTGCATATATGTCAGTATGATTTAAAACCTAAATTAATATTAAGTATAATTTGAGAGCCTCTGATGAGGGGATCTTAACTGTGAACTGCTGAGTTCTGAGGACTCAACTACAGAATGAAACTAAATCACCAGGAAACTTGTAATGTTCTTCACCCTTAAATGATCTATATTTAGAAGTTTTATCACGAGTGTTAGACTTGGCATTGTTGCTCTTTTAGAGATACATTTTTCATTGTTTAGTTAGAAGGGGCCAGGTGACTGTGGGGACTTACTTTTGAGGGATTCTGAAAATATGATTACTGTGCACGAGGACAGAGCTACGTTAGTCTGTTCGACAAGAATACATAAGGGGGAACCGTCGGAGCGGACATCTTGTAGGGCCCGGGTCAGGCCCGACTCCGCCTGCAGGTAAATCATTTCCACCGAGAGGCCACGGTCCTGCAAACAGTGGCCTATAGATTTGGGGTAATCCCTTTGAAAGAAGAGAAGAAAGCTGGTTATTGACTTCTGCACACAAACGAGGGGTGCGCAGGCATGTCGTGTGAGGAGAGCAGCACCGCTGTGCTGTGGCAGCATGTCCAGGCCTGGCTTCAATCAACCACAAAGACACCTCAACTGAATCATAATTCTTATCAAGGTGTAGTTAAGTGACCAGTGAAGAGCAGGATAACCTGGTATATCCATTAGGCTTGGGCGGTATACCATATACTGGGGGTATTTGGAAAAACTAATGGGATTTCTTTCAAGTTTTTCATTACATTTGAATATTTGTAGGTACTTTTTTTAGTTAATAATGGCAGTCAACTTGTGCAATACCTTAGGAGATGAAGCAGAATGCGTTCTTCATTTGACCTGTCACATTATGAAGCTTACCATACTTCCCCAGAACAGTTGAGCCAGTCACGTGTTTGTTTGTAAATAGCACAACGGGAGAAAGCGGGAGCCAGTGAGTCCATAGCTTTCTATATCGGTGAGTCTCTGTTGTGCGGCGCACATGAGGTGATGAAGTTACACTTGCAATTCACTACTAAATGTTTGCCCTCAAATATCTTATTACGGCTTTCTGTCAGAAGTCAGAGCTCTGGATGAGTTCTGTACAGTTGCCATTTTTTTTCCTGTGCTTCCTAATAGCTTTTCTCCTGCATTCTTCTCCCCTCTCCGTTCAGAAAAGCATGCATCACAACTTGGTTCATTTGCACAATTTATCTTGTTCACTTTTGCTTGTAAATGTCCATACTCACCGAAATTGACATTCTGTAGCTACGAGCTATGCTTGTATAACTGAGTGCTGGATTTGCAATTAGTTTGATAATTTTCGCTCGTTAGCATTTAGCTAACAGCATCTGTGATTTCGCTATTAGTTGGTGCAAATTTTGTTAGCGTTCTGGTAAGAGGCCCAATGGGCTTTTCTTGCAATTTTAGCACCCCTTTGTGTGCTATGCCGGTAATACTGTAAATCACGGGATGAGAGAAGGACGGTATGAAATCCTGGATACCGCCCAAGCCTAATATCCATAGGTCTAATACTATAAAAATGAATGTGATAGGTTGATTAAATCCAGCCTGCTGTGAGTTCTTTATCTGTTGATGTGCATTTTGTATTTAAATATGCTTATAATCTCTGTGTGCTTCTTAAATATCTTACATCTACAGTATTGAAAGAGCATGAACAGTATTGACCAGTGACAATGTTCATTGAAACTACAAAGTCACTACTGTGTGTAACATACAATATGTTGAGGAGGGTGGGACAGTGATGTCTCTTGAAGCCCACAACAGGTACACATCATAACACTCAGAGAAAGTATCAGCAACACCTTTAGGCAGGGGTGACCATTTCAAAACACAGAAGGTGAGTGTGTCAAGTTGTGCCCACAAGGACCAAGAGGAGCGTGAGTTAATAGTAACGATGTAAGTTGAATAGGTCATCCGGGTTTACAGTATATAACATATTCAAATGTAACATTGTTACATTTTATGTGAGTGTTGCAATAACACTTTTGAGCAGGGAATTTAATAGGTTTGCTAGGGGTGGACATGTCAATTTCTTTATGGGGGGCATACAATCATTTAAGAATGACTGCAAATTCCGTCCTGTTACTACTATTTACAGGTGTAAGTAGCTACCAAAGCAGTGCTAAAGCAGGCTACTTACAGTATGAAATTAAAACCTAACGTTACAATAAAAGGTTACCAGAACTTTTTGAAAAGGCAGAGTGAACCCATGGAGGTCAATGGACCTTCAGTCTCTTTTCAATGGCTGAGAGAACTGCTTAATTCTGTTTAATGAGTTTGATGTCTAACTCATCTATCCCATTTCATGAAGTATATGAATGGGTGAATAGTAATGAGTTAAATACACATGTATTATATTACATGACATTCCAGACAAGTGTGTACAATATTCGCTCGTCAGACCGATGATGATCGGATTAAGAATTGAGAGTGCACTCTGAACAAGGCATTCCATGAATGTTTACAAAAAATAAAAAGTTATGTGCTCCAAGAGGTTTTTTGTTTTCATAGCACATTGTGTTATGTTTCTGTTGATTTGTTTTGTAGTGTCTGTTGTGAATGTCTGGATTAATGTTTTTGATGGTTATGTCAAGAATCAACAAAATATGTATCTTCAACAAATCAAGCTGGCATATTATGGGATATCAAACAATCCCTAATAGAGTTAGTCAGTAGTTTGATTAACTGGGTGCAATTTGAACCAGAATCTGGCCTTACAGGAGATGTTGATATGGCGAGTCTCTTTTAAGCCTAGGAAGGTGCAATTTAGATCATATTTTTTAAGCAGAGACTGTTTGAATTTCTGCATGTGAAGAAACTAATTTATCAGTGATTGCAAGGAAAACAAAAACTACTACAGGTCTTGGGTGGGTGTGATTCATAAACAGGGAGGCAGTTTGCTACAAGTAGATAAACAATTTTTCAGCTAACCTGGAGAGAAAGACATGAGTATTATGGAAGTTCATGCAAGCGTGTAAGTAACAAATATATACAAAATAGAAGAGTAATAGCATTTTAACCATTAAAATAACCTAAAACAATAGTTTTAATTTACCTCAGTCACAATCTTACAATTGACTTCAGTTCAGTTTTTCAGGTTGTTGCCATTCATACATAGGTCTTCTTGGCTATTACAGTTAAACTCCCACACAAGTGATCCCAACAGGAGTAGGGGTATTTTCATTCCTCTTCACACACAACCACCACAGTTGCTGAACTCTCCATCCTCACTCCTGGAGTAACACACATACACCTCCCCTTTCAAGGGCATAGAACATTTTGCCAAAGGAAGACCCAAAAAGCATAAATACCCTATTTGCTTAAAGGTGAGGTACTCACGTGCTCTGGTTGCTCACAGACAGAACCACACAGTCTGCAGGTGTCTTCTCCTGGAGTTGCTTGTAGAACCGCTGGTAGAGGGCGCTACGTTTGTCAGCTGCATTGTAAACCTTGGGAGAAGCTTAGACGGGAGAGAATACATTTTCTAAACGAGTTGTTGGCAAACAAATACATTTCGTTGACATAAGATAAATGTGATCTTACCATTTTGTTGATATCCTTCATAGTCCATGTTGTTACCTGAGTAGTCATGCTGTTGGTCCAACTCCTCGTAACTGAAAGTAACACAGATATTCATGCATGAAGTGGCTTTCACAATGGCAAAGACATATGCACCATACCAGTATAGGCCTAATGTATCACTTCAGAGATTAGTGACGCACTAACATGTCATGCCATGCTCTTTCAGTCAAAATGGTACAGTAGCTCCCCTGTAAACGAAAACCTCACTAGGCTTTGTAGCGTTTTTTCAAACCTTCCTCCACCCAACACAAAGCGGACAGCGTAACTCCCCAAGTATCTGGCATTAGCAGATTATGGTACATATTCACAAGACATTTGATTGCAATGTCTTGATGCGCCACCTCGCCACACAGCATCATCACCCCTCAAACAAGCCTTTTTAGAATCTGAGAATGAAATACTTACACACTTGTCTCTAACATGCAGGCTCAGCATTCCCGAACAGTCCCACTACAAGTCAGAATGTTGAAACAAACTTATTTTCAACTTACTTCACCTGTTGTCCGACGATTTTGTCCCTATGTCGGAGGTAATCGAATACAAAATATCCACAGGGAAGTGTTATCAACCGGACCTTCAGTACACTGGTCTGTATATTGTTTGTATTTCCGGTTTTTACTTTCAATACTGATGCAATTCGCAGGTGACAAACACTTGCACAATTTGGCCAATATTGCAAGGAAAAGGGCTTTGGTCGACTACATTTGGCTATTGTTTACATATTGTGCATCACGTGCAATGCGTCAACAGATTGAAAATAAAAGTGACAGAAACTACCGGTGCAGTAAAATGTAGGGTAAACACTTTCCTGTGGATACCCTATCGCCACCTCCTACCACCAGAAGGACCAACAGCATGTACAACCGGTAATGTAAGTGTAAATATAATTTATTAAACATTCTGCTTGTAGAGACTATTGAGTCTTTTTTACAATTACTTCTTTCAGACTGATATTCGTGGAGTAACCATGGTAACAGTGACGTTTCGGCAACCCTCAAACTATCCAACTACACTACACAATTTATGATGGACTTCAGTTTAGTGGGCTACCCTCAAAACCTGCCATGAAC